AAAGTTAGTAGAGACATATCCAAACAGACTAAAGGCTGTAATTAAAGCAACAAAAGGGGCAGTCGTGGCCTAATGGATAGAGAGTCTCATGTCCGGCAGGGATTGTAGATGAGGGGAGTGAATAACCAGCGCTCTCTCCACCCTCAATACCACGACTGAGGTGAGACCCTTGAGCAAGGCACCAAACCCCCAACTGCTCCCCAGGCGCCGCAGCATTGGCTGCCCACTGCTTCGGGGGGGTGTTCACGGTGTGTGTGTTCACTATGTGTGTGTGCACGTTGATGGGTTAAATGCAGAGCACAAATTCCGAGTATGGGACACCACACGTCACGTCACTTTCACAAAATACTGACACAAGGGGATGATCTCTTTTCCAACACTGATTCTGGATTTTTTATTTTTTTATGACATGTTGGTGTTATATCTTTCACTTGGATTTTATAAGTTGCACTGAGTAAACACAGCTGGATGAAACAAAAACTGTGTCTGTCTTCATTTAAGGCTGCAAAGCAACAAAATGTGATTATTTTAAAGGGGGATGATTCTTTTCTATACCCTCTGTACAGTGTTGTTGTGGGGTTTTATATAAATTTCACAGATTATAGTGAGTTTTAGAGAGTAGTCTACACAATAGTTCATTCCTGTCCTATCTTAGGCAACTTAGGCATCACTACTCAGAATTTTCTTCAATTCTTTTCATCAAGTATTTCAAGCTTGTTTGCCGTACCAGTACGTTTGGATTTTGTGTTTGTTTGTCTTTCTGTCTTCTGTCTTCAGAACAGGGACATATAGGCACTGGTTCTTCCATTGTCTCCACTTGTAAAACATGATAATAAGTGTGTTCCGTTGTCTAATTTTCAGTGTTCACATCACCAAACTACACTACGCTACTAGTGTGGTCATTTCAACAAGGTGAAATACATTGAGGGAGGTTAACCAACACCATAATATTAAGCTATTATGAAAACAGTCTTCATCCCATGTGAAAGTACACCATTCAGCTGACTCTTCACAAAAACACAATGTATTTCTTAAAGGAATAGTTTAGCCAAAAAGGAAAATTCTGTCATCATTTACTCTTACCCTCATGTCATTCCAAATCTGTATGACTTCCTTTCTCTGCACATAATAAACCATTCTCAGACCATTCAAACCACACTGAGACATTTCTCAAAATATCTTCTGTTACGTTCCACAGAGGGGGGGGAGAAAAAGTCATACAGGTTTGGACATTTGATTTTTGGGTGAACTATCCATTCAATGTGTAAAATGTTTTAAATCAGCACCAAGTTATGCTGAATTCAAATAAGCTGTACATACATAATCTTAATTAATGGTTCCAGTTTCCACAGTGTGTTGGCATTGTTACGTACACACTGTTCTGACAAGCTCTGTATAATGATAATAATGTTGACTACTGTATAATTGTGTGGATCTTTGATGCATCGTCTCCTGCATCACATGCACACAGTTGGAAATTGTTTCGGTAAGCATGACTGGACACCAGTAATAAGCCAAAGACTTGGAGTGGATGAGCTGCAGACTCGAGGGAGCACATGTCAGGAAATGTATGTGTGTATGTGTGGTGTGTGTTTTGCTGTGCCCTGTAGTTCTGGCAGGATTATAACTCATTTCAAGTAGAGGGTGCTTCTGCTCCTGGCCCTCAGCACCGTGGCGTTGACACTCACACTCCTTGATCCGAGCCCCAGGTCCCCACACACCCACACTGATGAAATAATTAGTCTAACTGCTGATCCCGAATTATTCTAGCTGACCTTAGACCACCTAGTCCACACGAACATGTACACACACACACACACTTCCTTTTCTTTTTCTTTTCCTTTTAGTACACACCTGCACTCTGTCTGTCTCCTCACACACACACACTTGTGACCTTGTCCTCACTGTTTAAAATGGACTTGATTGGTTTTCAATGAGTCAGCAGTCTTTTCCTCTTCTTCAAGTCAAAGAACTTAAAGGAATAGTTCACCCAAAAATGAACATTTGCTGAAAATTTACTCTCAGGCCATTCTAGATGTAGATGAGTTTGTCTTTTCATCAGAACAGATCTGGAGAAATTTAGCATTACATCACTTGCTCACCAATGGATGCTCTGCAGTGAATGGGTGCCGTCAGAATAAGAGTCCAAACAGCTGATAAAAGCATCACAATAATCTACAAGTAATCCACATGACTCCAGTCCATCAATTCACATCTTGTAAAGTGAAAAGCTGCTTGTTTGTAATAAACAAATCCATTATTAAAATGTTAACTTCAAACCGTTCCTTCCAGATGTCCATGATATTGCTTTCTCCAGTGTAAAAGTCGTCTCATTTGAATCAGGAGAGAAATATGCACAGTTTACAAGCAAAAACAGTTCTAAACAAATATATAGGTGCATTTTGATGTGAGAGGACAACAGAGGATGGACTTTTTCACTGGAGGAAGTGTTATTATGGATTATAGACTCAAATTATGGCCAGAAGCAACGGCAAGTTAAAAACGTCTGACAGCACCCATTCAGTACAGATGTAATGCTAAATTTCTCCAATGAAGAAACAAACTCATCTACATCTTTGATGGCCTGAGGGTGTCACTTTTCAGCAAATTGTCATTATTGGGTGAACTGTCCCTTTAATGCCTTTGAGTAAGCGACCGCCAATAATGTGCTAAAGGAGAAAAGAGCAAAGGAGTCTGTCTTGAAGGGGCTTGTTGTGTTATTTTGTCTTGGAAATTCCCCAAACGCTCAGCTGGGTCTAGCCAAGGAGAGAGGCAGAGGACGAGTGCGCCGCTACAGCTGTTGTAGGGTCAGCAGTGCAGGGACGAGCAGGTGTTCTGCCAAGGAAACCCACCTCTCGTGCTGACCTGGGGTCAGTCTGTTGTCAGTCTTGTAATGGCCTCCGTGATAACAGCAGTGTGCAGGGCTGTTCTCAGACCTGTGCTTGAGGAAGTTTCGTAAAGTGTCTCAAGTCTGGTTTAAGGAAGAAAACACGGCTGCTTGCTTTATTTTTAGTGCTGTCAAATAAAAGGTGTTACTGCTGGTATTGTTGAATTTACTGGTTTACATTCAAATTTTCTTGTTTGTAAATTACAGTTTTATACTGTACAATTTACAGTTTTTGGCCGTAAATGTGTTTACAGTTTTTCTGTATTTTTTACAAAATTATTCTGGCAACCACAGCTGCCAAAATTATTTTGTAAAAACTACAGAATTTTTTTTACAGTGTTATAAACACAAAAGCAGGATTTTGTAAGTATCTTGATGTAGATTGTTTCTGTTCAACTATAGTTCATGTTCTCATCTGTTACACTCCTTAAGGGACAACAAAAAGAGCAGTCCATACTATTTTCAAAGTCTGAAAAAAGCATACTTTGTGTTCCACTGAAAAGCAAATGTGTGCAGATTTGGAATAATATGACTAAGTAAATAATGACGAGATACATATTTGTGAGCAAACTATCCCTTTAAATGTTAGTGGAAATGTTGTGCTTGTCTGAGAGGCTAATGAGGCAGCCCTCCTGTCAAAATGCCAGTCCTCCCTCCTGATTGCTAGGGGATTCAGAGGATTCAGCACACTCTCAAGCATCCAGCATCTTCTTTAACTTCATGCAACATAACATGTCAAAAATCCTTCTGTAATAATCAGATTTCCCTAAATCGCACAATCCTAGATTAAAAAGGCAGGGGAGAGAGGAAAAAAGACTGTGCTATGATGTGTAAAACTTGTGTTTTTTTAAGCCAGTGAAAGAAAGTGGCTGAGCAGTGAAGCAATGAGGAATGAAGACACTAAGTTATCGGTGCACTCACTGAGCCGTGTGTGCTGCTCTGACACCTGCTGGAGGTTCAGAGCACTGCAGGATGGGAACCAAAAACACAGCAGAGGTGGAATAAACTGCTAGAGGTCAACCTAATCCCTCTTCTCCTTTATGGAGAACAGATTTCCCTTCATGTTGAATAAGAAATAGCTATTTTTATGGTTTAATGCCACCTGATTAGGCTACACCGTAGATGATCTTAGATAAAATGATTATTATTCATGAGATGCTTTTATTTCATAGCACGCTTTAAGACAGGAGAAAATATCAAAAGCATCAGGAAGATCAAACGTGTAAATGACAACGATTAAATTTTTGCAAATTATACCTGGTAAGTTGTGAAAATGATTCTGTTTTATGAAGAAGACTTAATTTTAACTGAGCTCTTTACCATTAAAAGGTGTTTAATGTCCATTTCACGGACACCGAAAAAAATGTCCGTTACAAATTATTTTTATCTTCCCATAAATGCAAAAAGAAATATTATTCATTATTATATTAATGAATTTTATTCATAGTATTAAATAACTGCAAATAATATGCAATTAAACCAGGTAAATTATGAATCTGTTTTATGAAGAAGGCTTAATTTTCCTTTGGTGACAGAGGGGAGTGTTTCAAAACAAATACATTATAGAGCAAGAGAGAGGGGAAGAGGAGTAACCCCCTTATTCAGCTACTCTGCTCACCAGTCACACCAAGGATCCCAATCAATCCTGGAAATTGGTTTGTTCCCTGACAAGGTTACGAAATGACAGGCTGGTAGAAAGAGAGAGAAAGAGAGAGAGACAGATGGGATGGGAGGAGAGAGAGAAAGAATGAAAGAGAGATGTTGGTGTTTGCTTACTGACAGGCTGCTATCTCCAGCGGGGATTCAGAGAAGCAGGGAGTTTGGCTATGTTTGGGCTTGTGGCAGAGATTACACTGCAACACTTAACAGAACACATGTGTTCCATAAATATGTCATAAGAAAGTGTAGTGTAAAAGGATTTCACTTTCTTCATTTACTGTTCTTCAGTATACACTACTACTGAAAGTGAAATCTGAGGCCCATTTTCCTCCCGTCCCATGCATGCTGAACTCAGTGTACAGGCTACATATAAACATGCAATAACAGTCAGCGCTTGCAGTCTGTTATTCTGGTTAACTCACTGTCTGTGTATTTGTGTGTATCTCTGTTACAGGAACATTTCACGCCAGAGTGCAAGTTTAAGGAGTGTGTGTTTGAGAACTATTATGTGACATACTCCTCGATCTTGTACCGTCAAACACAGTCGGGCCGGGCCTGGTACATTGGCATTAACCGGGATGGAGAGGTCATGAAAGGAAATCGGGTTAAAAAGACTAAAGGAGCAGCCCATTTTCTGCCCAAGCTTATAGAGGGTATGTCTTTGTTTATAATAATAATAATTATGTATTTGTTATGTGTTGACAGTATATTGCAAAAGTTTGGGATGAGGAGTCTGGTGAGATTTTTGTTTTAATAGTTTTTTTTATTGTTATTATTATTATTATTATTATTTTATATTTGAAAGAAGTATATTATGCACACCAAAGCTGCATATATATTTTTTTTTAAATACAGTAAAAACAGTAATATTGAGGAAAAACTACTACAATGTAAAAATAACAGTTTTCTATTTTAAATTTGTTTTAAAATGTAATTTATTCCTATGATGGTAAAGCTACATTTTCAGCAGCCATTACCCCAGTCTTCAGTGTCACATAATTCTACAGAAATCACTCTAATATGCTGATGCTGAATATGGTGCTTAAGAAAAATTTCCTCTTATTATGTTGAAAGATTAATCATTAATATTTTGTGGAATACATTTAGTTCAATATATATAATGAATATAAAGTTTAAAATAATAGCATGTATTTGAAATTGAAATCTTTTGTAGCATTATAAATGTCATTACTGTCACTTTTGATTAGCTTAATGCATCCTTGCTGAACAAAAGTATGAATTTCTTTCAAAAAATCTCACAGACCCGAAAATGGAGGTTCTGTCATCATTTAATAATGTTGTGCCAAACCAGTATATGACTTTCTTTCTTCTGTGGAACATGAAGATATTAGTTAAGATGTTTCAACATTTTTTGTCCATACAATGAAAGTCAAGTCAAGTTTATTTGTACAGCGCTGTTCACGATACAAATCATTGCAAAGCAACTTTACAGCAAATTAAGTTTCTACAATATTTAGTGGTAGCTTATCAGTGGTGACTGTCAATTAATGTACATATGGCAGAAATGTACGGATAAATCAATTTAAGACGTAATAAAACAGACGATGAACACTAAAGTCAATAGGGTTCAGTGTTGTTTTGGTAGAGGAAGAGACAAAAAAACTTTCATTGATTGTATGGACAAAAGAGCACAGAGACATTTTCAAAATTTCTTCTTTTGCATTCTGCAGATTCAGGTTTTGAATGAGGGTGAGTAAATGTGACAGAATTGTCTTTTTTGGGGGTGAACTGTGTCTTTAAGAGTTTTCTCCTGTCTCTCCAGTTGCCATGTACAGGGAACCATCACTACATGAAGTTGCTGAGCAAAGCCCGCCTAGAAAAACGGCCAAAACGTCAGACTCCCCCGTCCATAAAAACGGCAAGAAAGACCAAGTGCTTCCCGCCCCCACAGCCTCCTAGCGGCAGTAGAACAAACACTTTGTTTGCACGGACACGCCATGAACGCCAACAGTGGCACAGGAGGTTTGGTACAAATAATGTTTGTAGTCCCTCCACCGACCCTCAGAACTTTGACATTTCCAACAATGCATCAGGGCTCAAAAGACCCTTGCTGACAGGTCTAATGCCCACCGCACTTCCTTTTGGTCTCTCCTGCTCCTTAATCAAAGGAATACTGAGCAATAATAAGCGCACTGGTCTGGGGGCAGAGTGTGACTGCGTCGCTTTTGTGAGAACAGCAACACCTAATAGAAAGGATCTTTGTCTTCCTCTCCTTTTTTAGTATTTCAAGAAGAAACACTTCTTCTTGTGAAGCAATTCGTGCTTGACATTTAAAGCCTCCATTTCCTTTGTTCAAGCATTCATAGATTCCACGAAAATCTTTTTTTTTTTCTTTTAACAGAGATCCCCGTCATCTCTAAGCCTTGTTTGTAATCTCCTCTCCCTTCTCTACCTCTTCTGCACTTTGATTAACTTGAGACACAGAGGCCATTTTCCACTTCACAACACAGGAAAAGCCCCACACACTCCGCCACATGCACACACACACACACACACACATACACAAACTAAATAACTAAATAAATAAAACTTACCCTCCTCTTAGGATGAGGATATTTAGAGTCATTCAACCTTAGGCATTGCAAACCTTTTTCTGCTCATTGGCTCCTGCGCTGATGAGTCTGCGGAGGCTGGACATGTGAGTGAGTGTGTGTGTGTGCGGTGAACAGTAATACAATATCATTTGTAAGATGACTCATAACAGAGGGAGTAGGATGGCATTATTGTTTCTTTTTGTTATGATAAGTCATTGCTTTTCTCATTGCAATATGCCCAGAGAGCAATATCGGTACAGCCTGCATTCTTTCTTCTCTCTTTTTAGCATGTGTGTTGCTTTAGAGCAGGGTTTCTCAAAGTAGATATGCTGACTACTGAGGCTGCAAGTTTCCTAAAGTTCATGTCCCTACATTCAATTTTATTTTATTACATTTGCCTGAGAGCAAAGGCACTTTACCCAGCCAAATGAAACAACACAAGTGCTGAAAAGGTCCAATTCTGCTTTATTTTCTTTTGATAAAATTGGGGAATTGGACCCAAAAGGAATCATTTTGGGAACCCTTGCACTGAGAGTCCAAACAGACCTGTAACTTCTGACCTCCAGCTTTATTTGAGGTGTTGAGAATATCAGTATGTAAATGGAAATGTGTTTTAAGTGCTTCGAGGTACCTGGTGACACATCGCACTTCTGCCTTTGCAGTTATGTTTCTGATAATATTTTCATGCATATCACCTACATTATGGAAATATGATTTAGTAATACACTACTGCTCAAACTTTTGGGGCTGGTAAGATTTTTTTTATGTTCTTGAATGTCTCTTCTGCTCACCAATGCAATTATTTGATGAAGTATACAGTATAGTGTACAGTACTATGCTACAATTTCAAATAATTTTCTATTTTAATACATTTTCAAATTATTCCTGTAATTGCTGCCATTGCTCCAGTCTTCATTGTCACATGATCCTTTCAGAAATCATTCTAATATGTTCATTTGGTGTACAAAAACAAACAAACAAAACATTATAAACATTATTTTCAATGTTGAAAAAAGCTGTGCTGCTTAATATTTTGCTGCTTAATATCATGCTACATTTTTTCAGGAGTCTTTGATTAATGGAAAATTCTAAAGAATAGTATTTTTATAGCAGTATTTTTTAGTATTTAGTACTACATTTTTTAATAGTATTTTTTTTTTTTTGTAACAGTATAAAGGTCTTTATTGTCACTTTTAATTAGTTTAATGCTTCCTTGCTGAATAAAAGTATTAATTTCTTTTAAAATATATATCTGACTGACCCCAAACTTTTAAATGGTAATGTATATAATATATATAATATAATTTTGGAGGTAGAAAATCTTCCTGATTTAAATGCATAATTATTAGGGTCCCTTGTAGAGAGTATTTTAAACATTAGTCTAATGTTTTTTGGCTCTAGTATTAGTTATATCAGAGCACATTCCCTGATTATATCTTCACTGTGATTTCAAGCGCAAAGCTTAAACAAAGTGCAAAAAAATCAAACTTTTCTCCTGCTGAGTTGAATAATTTCTCATACCGTGCACCTGGTGTTGAGGAAATTATGTCTGTGATAATTATAGATTCAGTCCCCTGCAGCAATGCATTATTGGGAGAAACAAAGTTATTAAGACCAAAGTGGAAATAACTAAAGAAATGTTAGACTTTTGGAATATTTACTAAATTCTTCCACATTTATATCAGGATGTCACTCTTTCCCATGATTACAGTTTCCCTACTGCGAATCACAGCAGCACCTGCAGGTATTTCACAATCCCCCATTACAGAAGTTGGTGTTTGTGGATAACGTCCCGAGCAGATTGTTTTTCAGAAGGGCTGAATCAAAATGCTCTGCATCTCATAGCTTCTGGGTACACATCAATAAGACTACATCTTGATTATTCTTCATAAAATATAATTTGTTTTTGTAGATTTGCAAGCAGTAATGTTCTTCTCAGACTACAGCATTTCTTAAGTCTTGCATTGTCCACAGCTCATTTAAGTTTAAGCTTCAATATTATCTGAAGGGCTAATACTTAACGTTATGCAGGTCCATGTAATGCTGTAATCACAGACAAGAAAAACATTGACAGAGGCACTATAAGGCAATATAGTTCTGAATTAGCAACTGGATGCCACACTGAAACAAAATCCAGCAGGCCAGACTGCAAAGGTTAAATAATGATAAAGGCAATGTCGTATGAAGTCACAACTGTGCTTTGATTAGCATCCCATGGTTTATTCATTCAGTTTAATAACAATTAGACCATGAAATTGATAGTTACTTTAAAATGTCTCACTTCTTCTAGCCTTTCAAACTTTTAAATGTCATGATAGGACTTGTGCTAACTTACTGACTCAATAAAAAGGCTCTTGTATTTGAAAGGGCTTTCTAATCCAATACATGAGTATAAAAGGAGATATTACTACTGCTCTTTACTTCAAATATGTCTAATTGACACTTATAACATAAGGTTTGCTTTGGGTCAGTTTGAGCTGATTGTGAATTTGTTTACAACATAATGTTAGAAAAAAGAAAAGAAAATTAGTCCTTTTCTTTGCTTTGATTTATTTGGCATGCACATAAGGGCCAGATCGGGTGGTTTAACAATTATTTCTAAGTGCTTCTCTCTCAATTTCGCTGCTATTTTTCAGTCATAAACACAGAGGCCAGAAGATGAAAGCTAAGGGCTAATGCTTTTCAGAACAGCCAAGCCATTAAAACACTGTACGTGTATACAAAGATAGAGAAGACCTTGTAAACTGCAATTTTCTAAATTTACTAAGCTGACATATTTGTGCATCATATTAATTTGTTTCTTCGTGTTTATTTTTTACTTTGTATGTCCTGGTCATGATGTCAAGTGTTTGTGTTGGCCATCACTTTTCCATGTCTTTCACTGCATTCTATAGTGAATCTGTCTGTTCATTTGAATTTGCATGTTCACCAGTCGATCTAGAATCATACGTACTTCAGCTGATGAGTATTTGGAGCTCAGGGTCATAAAGACATTGAATAGTGTTATGTTGGGTTATGGGATAGAGTTAGTCTGTGCAGTAATAATTAGCTTTTAACAGACAATTAGCAGACTGATCTTTCTCTACACTGATATATTGGCTGGCAACTTACAGTGTTTATGTTACACATTTTACACATTAAATGTATTACTAAAGCAATAATATTAACAATGCAATTACAAAGCTATCTGCAAATGATAGTATGCATTGGTCATTGGTGCTTAAGTAAACGATTTAATGTAACATCCACACTGTGATGCCCCCACCTCTCCCCAATAAAAGGGAGTCATCCATGTTCCATCTTCACTCCCTTATATTGACCCATTGTCGATAAATGCTTTAAAAACAGATGTTACTTTTCTCTCCAGCTTATTTCAAATTGATTAAACAATACAGACTTATTGGTTTTGTTCGGACAAGCAGCAAAAATCTGCTTTGTTCTGTTGTTGTTTATTAGTTTTTGTTTTGTTTCTGACTCAAATTTAGTCTGAATAGCAAAAACATAAACAAACCTAAAAAGCCATGTGGTTTGAAATGAGACACCTGTCTGGAGCTGTGAATTTAGAATTATTTTCACTTACTCTTTACTTTTATAGCAACCTGTGTGACATTTACATTGTGGTGAATATTGAATGAGTCAGCATTTTTTGACACACTATATGTGCATAAAAAGCTGCTTATGTTCTCTCATGTGCCTCGTGAGTTGAGCGCTGTGGCGTAATGTCATGATAAACGTGAGCTGAGGCTAAATTCTCAGTTTCCATCCTCCTTCCACAATGACAGTGACTCGGTTGTTGTTAATTCTCTTAGCATCATGCTGACACTTATCATCACTATACCAACCAATGTAAATTCACTGGATATTCACCACACTCTGAACAAACGAATCCGATTTCATAATTTCCAAATTCTTAAAAGTCTTAAAAATCAGATTTGAAAACCGAATTAGATTTGTGGGCAGTGTGAAGAAAGTCACTATCATTTTTGTGAGCTGCTATTATGAACTGTTGTTGTATGTGTGCGTCTGTCTACATTTTTTAGGTAGTATCTAAGCTTTTAAGTTTAAAACAACTAAGTTTGCATTTTTTGCTGTTAGTGGTGTTTTAAAATCAGATTTTCTAGAAACAGTCTTATAGAAGATTGTTTCCACCACTGAATAAAAATAAAAAAGGTAATTGCAACTTTTAACCTGACAATTCAGATTTCTGACAGTTTACATCTCGTAATTCAGACTTGTTTCTCAGAATTACAAGATTTTCTCGAAATTGCAAGTTATAATATCAGAATTGCATGATATAGTCACAATTCTGAGAAAAAAGTCAGAATTTCAAAAAATAAAGTCAGAATTGCAAGGAAAAAAGTCAGAATTGTGAGATAAAAAGTTGCAATTACCTTTTTTATTTTTTATTCAGTGGTGGATATGGGCTTCAATGCAGCACATTTTAACAATTGTGTATTGTTTTGTTTTATTTTTCAGCGTGATGTGGTTTGCTGTGGTTTGTGTCATATATACATATTTAATGTTATGATATGTTGCTATCTGGGCTTTTAAAAAACAATCAGACTTTAGCTCAATAGCATTAGCACCGGCAGTGCAAGTAAACAACACCATTTTTCCAGACATTAAAAGTACATACATACCTGTTTAGTGTAATTTGCTGCTTGTATTAGGAGGATTCTGAAGGGTCAATCGCTGTAAACTGAGAGCAGAAATATTTTCAAGATGTGTGGTGTGATTATTTTGCATAAGAGAATTGTTAAGCTGCAGAGCCCCTTATTTACTGATCATCAGTGTCTGTAATTGTTTCCTGTGTGTGTGTGTGTGTATGCGTGACTTTGAGGAATAGCCCCAACCTAGTATCTGCAATGCAGCAGAAAAGACAAAAACTCAACCTTCCTCCCATGTTTCGACCAAAGTCTCATCCCCCAAGATACATCTCTTAGCCCTCACAACAGCACTGTGTATACATACCACGCTCCCCCTCAACTGAATGTCATTGCCTCTGTATGTGTGTGTGTGACCACGAGAGAGAGCGAGAGAATCTCTGCTGCATTTTAAACGCACAGACTCGCACCACATCTGCATTGCATACACAGCAGTGGGGTATTAGTCTCTCAGCAGATGTGTGTTGAGAGGGTGACCTTTAAAAATCTGAGTTCCTCAGCTTCATCCCAGCTTTAGGATAGTCACAATGTTCTCCCATGCTCCCTAGGAGGTAACCTTAAGTTTTAGAGTTTAACTGCTGTTTATGTGGCTGTATAGAGATGATGTTTGTGCAGAATGTGTCTCCCCTGGGTCAATTTATGTGAAATAATCTGAAATGCAGTCACAAATGCAGTTTTTGTTTTAATTTAAATATTAAATATTTGAATAAAGTTTATAATAATTATAAAAGTGTAATTGTTATTATAATTATCAGTTATTCTTTTGAATGGCCAAAGTTTAAATAGAAATCACTCCAGTCACTCCTTGTTCCATCTCTTTAGAGGTTTGTTGTCATATTCATGTGACAGTTTTAAACATATGAAACAATTAATCACTTTTACTGTAAAACTCAATAGAATAACTCGAACTTTGGCTTCCCCATCTCACAGGATGAAGACATAATTTTTTTAAAATTAAAGTAGTATTATTACTTATTATTTTCAATTGGATATTAAATATATTAATAATAATAATAGTAATTGTTATTATTATTATTATCAGGTGAATGTCCAACGTTTAAGTAGAAGTGAGTCTCTCTTTGTTCCATCTCTTCAGATGTTTGTGGTCATAATCATGTGACACTTTTTAAACATGAACCAATGTAACTGTTTTTACTGTCTAAAATGTCTGTTTGTGGCTTCAGTTTTTGTGTCCCTTGAAACAAAAGTTCATACGTCTGTTGTTGGTAATTTATTTGCTTATTTGGAATAAATTGGTGAAATAGTGTTGATATGAGTTGCCATTCAACCTTGTGGGGCAAACAGTCACAGTCTAGCTTACTTGTATCAAAAAACAACTGGTGACCAAGAGCAATAGGCCAGAACTCTTGGCCTGTGTCATGAACATTGATCCCTGCTCTACCAGACGACAGAGGTCATGATCTTTTATCCTCAATGGACACTGGTTGGAATTTAATGCAGCAAAACTGACTGCTGGTTTGTCGCTGTCGACGTAACACACAAAATGTACACACTAAACTGTGTGCATACTAAAATGCCCACCTCTTATATCAGTACAAGCAGGCGATTTGCTTATGGACAATGAGAATCTGCTTTATATCGAAGGAATCCCATAATTTTTGTAAATTCTGCATGGATTATCCAAGTTATTGTAATGAAGTCTTCCAAAAGAAAGGAAACTAAACCATATTACTTTTTTCTTGTCTTCCAAACCAAGACAAAGCAACGGTCTTCCAGTCAAAGCCACGATGACACTATTTTTAATTTTTATAGCTACAGAAACCAATAACCACCAGGACAGACTCAACAGAATCGCTCAAACTTTGGCTTCCCCATCTTACAGAATGAAAAGACATCAAACTGGACCACTTGGACGGAAATGGCACATCTGTGGTTTTTTGCAATGTTGGAAGGAACAACCCAATACAGTCATGCATGAACCAATATTTACTGGACACATTGAAAATTAAAATGAAAAAAAAAAAAATTACGAGGAGGATTATTCCTGTTTAGTATTTATTATTAACTCACTGTTACTCTTAATACTCTGTTCTGCATACACTGTCAGCCCTGCATTTGCAATAGAATCTATATCTATTTCTATAAGTCTACGGGAGACATATTATTGAACATTATTGAATAAAACTAATATATTTGTATGATTGTAAAACCAAAGTGTCATTTGTTTTATTTTCTGCTGGTGAGTCTGTTAACGCTCTGTGACAAAATCCATTCACATGTATCATTCAGTGTCCTTATTTAAAGTAAAGCATTTCATTGGCGCTCAGGTAAGTGTCAGAGTTTGCCATCTTAATAGTATTTTACAGGTGAGTCAGCATTAGTTATGCGTTGTTAAGTTGACTTCTATAATGATTAAATTGGCAGAGGGCCAAACAGTGAATGTGGTGGGCCAGCGCCATTACTTAAGTACAGCACGGCTCGACGGGAGTGCTCAAGTGAGGATGAACAGGAGACAGGTGGCATGTGCTCCAAGTGTTGCTTTGTTCACTTTGTTCCCACGCAAAAGCAGGCTTTGCTAAAGAGCCATTTTCATCTTTTATCCCTGTAACTGTGTAGGAAAAACTTCAGCAATCCCCTGATCTCTGATTTCAAAAGGCCCATCAAAGTGTCAACACTCTAGAGCAGCAGAATAAATCTCATCCTTTAATCTAATTGGTGGGATAAAGCTGCATAATTCATTTTAACAGCTCTAATGAATTACATAAAAGTACAGCACATTAATACTACTCCTCTTGAGCCAAAAGCACCCCAGAACTGTATAAATATGCAGGCGTGGATTCAAACACATCAAAACACTTTGCCTTATTTAAAAAGTACATTGGGGAAAGACTCTCAGTGACGACCTCAATATGGGTGGACATGAGCGCTCTGCCTATTTTGTAGGATGCAGGAAATAGTTTGAAATGTTCATGATTTTTAATGTGTCAGTGGGTGCTTTCAGAATGTCAGATGTCATATGGGATCAAATTTACATTTAAATGTACCATGTATGCTTTTAGTCTGTGGAAAAGGATTTGTATTAGAAAAACAGACCCCATTCGTGAATTCAGGCCTTTTGTTACCTTATGTCATCCTTACGCTGCAAAAACAGCACAGTAACTGCCAAAATTACACAAAAAATATACATTTAAAGACTGTAATTATACAGATTCTGCATCAAGGTTTCATAAATGCATTTACATTTACAGAAATTCCAGCTGCAGAAATAATGTTATAAAGTTACGTTTTAAAGATAATGTTTTTGACAAAAAGTATCTTATGTTCACCAAGGCATGAATAAAAATACAAATAAAAATATTAAATTAAATGTATAGCTATATGTATAACTCTTTACAATGTTTATGAAAGAAGTCTGTTAAGCTCACCAAGGCTGCATTTATTTGATAAACAGTAATATTGTGAAGTAATATGAGTTTAGACAACTATTTTCTATTTTAATATTTTTTTAAATCCCCCTTTCGCTTCGCGTAGTTCTTAAACATAACTGAGATATTTTTCTAATATTAAATACTATTTTTGTCAGTAAGATGTTTTGTGTGGGCGCGTGAACTCTAGAGTGAGCGCGCACGGCCGAGTGCGGCGAGTCTGTAACCCGAGCGCAGTGACAGCGGGCTGACTTGTCGCCAACTGTGTGCTGGAACAAACACGGATGGACCCGCACGTTAACTTTCTATGAAGATATCACTGTTTGCTGATTCGTCATGAAGGCCCAGAACTGGTTTATTGTCACCTGCTGCCTCTATGGCCTGAGCGCAATCGCAGGTAAGGTTAAGTTTCCAAAGTGAATTTGTGCGTTGCGCGCACGTGTGAACACCCAGTAAACTTTAAAGTAACGCCACGTGTGATCTGATGTGATTACCTGATAGTAAATCCAACATCTGACGTCCTACAACACCAAAGGGGGGTTGAAAAGGAGCATTTTAACGTTACTTTGTTGTAGTCGTCTTTGTTTGTTTAAATTGGAATTGGTTTGGTACTGTTTTCACATGTAAGTTGTGAATTGCAGTATAGCTCTCCAAACAATGCATCGAAAAGTTTTATTTAAACATTAGCCTACAGCATTTTAACTCAATTCACAAAATAACAGTCTACCTTTCTCACTATTAGTAAGCCTTTGATCTATAAATATTTTACCTTTAAAGTAAAATGCATAAATCCTGTAATTTGCATATATTTCCATTCATTTTAATACATAATCCCAGGACATTATTTTACAGTATACCATACGGTTTGATAAACAGAGGTCTTACCATGACAGAGGCTGTCAAATTACTGTAACTCACCCCAGTGTGAAAAGGTCAATTGCAGTATCATGTCAGTCATACTGTGAGAATATTTTGTCAGGAATGCGGGCTGTAGTGAACCATAAGTGGCATTACTGTACAATTATTAAGTCGTTCACAGTTCTACTTTAAGAATTGGCACAAAACCTCATGGCAGTGCCATATATTCATTGATCACACCTTTGGATAGATATTAAAGTTATTAATGTAAGTGTTTTTCTTATATGATGTCTGTAGCATACATTATAGTTCTGTAATATTTTTAATTAAAAAAACCTAAGGGTGATTTGAAACATGTATCTGCCATTGGTTCACTGTAAAATCCAATAGTTTACCTTACTTAGATTTAATTAGTTATCTTTACTTAGTTGTTATACTTACTAGGTTTTATTAAGTTACAGCTACTTTCAAGGCAAATAAAACAATTTACTTACTGTTTTGAGTGACACTTACCGGTTATAGTGATTAGTGTTCCCTTTGGTTGGGCACTTGGAACTTCGTTCATGTTATTATAATTATCTTCCTGTTAATGCAGCAATGCATCATGAAGTCAAAATTATTTGATTTCAAGGGAAGAAAAGTAATAAATAGGTTGCTTTTAGAATGTGATCTATCTTCTAATTAATTCAAGTGTATTTTTTGTTTATGAACTTTTTCAAATTTCATCTTTCATAAATACCTTTTCATAAATACCTTGAGATGCTTTTAATTGGGTTTATATAATCCTTAAATAGTGTGTGGTAATATGCTAAAGTCACACACAGACTTAAACATTCAGCACGTGAATCACAACAATGGTAACAATTCAATTTCATTTATTTTCATTAATTGTAACAATAACCATTTTATTTGCTCTTTTTGTTGTGCTACTACTGACACAAGACTGCAAATAAAATTGTCAAATAAAATCAACAACTGTAAAACAAAGCAACTGTATAATTTATTCATGCCGCAATGCACTCTGGGAGTCAGTAATTCTGAGTAGTAATGTTCCTCAGATCACAGATTCAATTAAGTTAACAAAACTTAAATGGCTTAAGTAAATTTCACTCAAGTTTATCAAGTAAACATTACTTAAATTTTTTAGGGCAACCAGTTTCCTCAAAATTTTTAAGTAAACTCAACTTATCCGGGTTTTGAGTGTGTATGTTCTCCTGTCACTGAGCTTTTCTTGATGTCTTTTGCTGTGTGTGTGCGTAACTGTGCACACATGCATATGTGTGTCACCTGCAGTTTTCTTATAAAGGATCAAGTACCCCCTACAGTTCTTTTTTAGTTACTAGAACTCTCGTGTAAGTAAACTATACTAACTAAGCATTTGTCAGTACAACATACTATTCCTATTTCACTTTACTTCGGTTTTTCAAGGCAATCGGTTTGCATGCTTTTTTTAAGTAAGCCCAACTAATTAGATTTTACAGTGTTTCTATTGACTTGACTGATACATAAATTAATGTTTTTGCTTAAACCAAATGTTCCCATGGTATGTCGCAATAATGGTGTGAAAGTATGATAGAATGAGTCAGTCAGAAGAGTTGACCACCTGTAAAAATGGTACCAAAGCCATTTAACATAAAAGGGACATTTTCTAAAAAATACAGTTTTTACGAGTACCCATGGGAAAATTGTAAATTAACCTCAAGTCAGACTGTCATCAGGAACTCTTTATATTAAAAGTTGATTTAAAGGTGTTTCGGAGAGGTTAATTGTGCTAATTATTTGAGGGAAGCTTTCAGTGGGACTGTTGAGCAGCAGATGGCATATTCTCTGTAAGGCCTCATTTATTTCACAATTTAAACGCTCATACAGAAAAAAATAACGATTTCTCATTTCCATAAAGTTTCTCCCATGATACTGTCTTTTAAAATTGCAATACAGCTCAAAGCAGCAGCCATTGGTAGTGGTGGTTGATAATGAAGGTGACGCGTGTCGTTTGTAACTGTCAGTTTTTATTCTGGAGGGCTCGAGGTGGTGAGACTTGATGAATGTGGCGCCCCTAGAAGGCCCGCTTATAGATGCAGCTAACCTTCGAAAGCTGCGGGAAAAAACAGCAGGCGTGATGCATAAAAACATCAGCGATGGCCGAGCGAGTGGAGTAAACAGTCACCCTTAAAACTGTGCATGATGCAGGTCTAAGAACACCCAAGGCTGTGCGATTGGCTGAGCCTCTTATCTGTTCAGCTTTATGTTCAGATTTTTAGATCCATCCATTCATCCATCATTACTATATTCAAAAATTAGGCAGTAAACTAGGGCTGCCAAAATGGCTGAAAAACTAAATTAGAATTTTTTTACTTAAATATGATCGATATTCGAATTATATTCGAATTTAAAAGGCACAACTTCAGTTGGGGGGACACCTAAAATTCGAATGCAACGTTTTTGCATTCGAATGTGGATTTTTATTTTAAATTCGACGAATATTCGAAATTCGAATTTTTTTTGACAGCCCTACAGTAAACCGCCCAATACACATGACATTCTGGGCTTTAACCCGCAAAAGGTTTAACACTCAGACTCTTAAGATTAAAGACTAAGGGTAGGAGAGAGTTGTGCTGCTATATTTATCAACATATTTTCTAGGTGCAACAGAAGCAGAAGATCGGCTGATGAAGAAACTATTTTCTTCATACAATGTTAAAGTGCGTCCTGCAAGGAGCCCAGAGGAAAGGGTCGTCGTGAGGATAGGCATGACCCTTTCATCATTCGTCAGCCTGGTAGGGAGACCCAAACACACACAGTTATGTAGCTTAATGGGCACATACCATTATTATTATTATTATTAATATTATTTTGTTTTTTATTTTAAAAAGTGTTTCATTTTTAACAGTACAGCTTTATGCTTTGAAATGATGCATATTGTGAAAAGTGCTATACAAATAAGTTTGACTTGGCCTATGATATATTAATTATTATTTTAAAACATTATTATTATTATTATTATTATTATAAAGCGAATTAGGGGCAAAATCATTATGAATGCCTGACAGCTAAAAGCTGATCATAAGATTTATTAGATGATGTGGTTAGTTGCTTGTTTATTTAAACAAATAGTGTGTTGTTGGACATTGTTACCCATTGTGTCGCAGTGTATAATGCTGTGATTCTTAAAGAGGGAGTCAAAAAACTTGGGAGTCATTTTATTATGAATTTAATTTTATTTTCCTTGGTCTTCCTCAAGAGTTTTTGCTTATGTCACATATATTTCTTAAAGACACAGCAGGAAAAAAAAATGGGCCACAGAGTATGGGAAAAATGATATATGACTGGTTATGATCACTGTAAAAATTAAACCATAAAAAGCATAGTATGACCCCTTTATGAAATGCTATTAATTAGAGTTAGGATAAATTTGCAAAAGAACAGCTTCAATTCTTTGTATGCCCATAATAAAAGCTAGTTTGAACCAAGTCGGGTGGTTGGTTCAGCTGTTCAGTGTGTGAATTTGGTATGTGAATCAGATCATGCTATCCTTCACTTCTTAACTCAGGGATTTAATAACCAGGTCTCGGGTAACAGTGCACACGCAGATTTCTATTTTCGCAAATGTCTCAGAGTTAAAGTTTATAATCAAGGTATTTTCATTGCTCTGAATAGAAAGGAACATGACCTTCTCTACAGGCTTTATGAACAGTGATTTCACATGATTTTTGCTTGACCAGCCAAATGTGTGTCCAAAATAAGACACATGTTGAGATAGCATTAATGTATCACTCCAAATAACTGTATTCAGGCCGGAACCATCCACACATTTAAATCACTGCTTGTATATTAATAATATAAAGGGAATATAAAGTGTAGATACAATGTGTAAATGAGTGTTATGGTGTGTGTTGACCCATCCCCCAACTGTTTGTGCTCTGTACTGAGACTGGGACAGCTGACATTCCTACACTAGTTTTAAATAGCATTCAGGACTGTGTACTGATCTGACCATTGAGCCTCAGTTCTTTCCCTTGGCTTCTAATATTCCTTCATCCCCTTCTCCCATTGCAGCCAGGGTTCCCATTATTTGTCTTGACTCTAAACATACATCAGAGGCAGAGAATTCGGGGATCCTTCTTTATATATATGCTCTTGTTTTTCTTCCTAATCCCTCATTTATACCATTCAACCATCAAGAAAATACAGCAGTTTTAGAAATAATGAGATGCAATGCTAGTATAATATAGTGTTTGGTGATTACTGTGTTGTTTACATTCACTATGGCTCCTGCTGTGGAGAAAGAGCAATTTCATTTTCAAGCAAAATATTACAGAGATTTAAAGTTATTGAATATGTTGTAACTTACCCAAAATAGCATAGTGTTTACATTTCTTTAAGATATTACATCCTAAAGTTCATTTTGTAGTACTGTAAGTTCCAGATTGCTGATATTTCTTTGAAACTATTCTCTTTGGTGAAGTAAATTATAAACTAAATATTTGCCCATACTGTGTCTAAAATGTGAGTTACTCAATATATAGCTTGTTGTTTATTGAACTGTTGTATTAAAGCAACATCACACTTGCAATCGTGCTGTTGTTCGTACCTGTGGACAAATCACAGCCATGCACTCTTAAATGTAATATTGATTAATAGTAAAACCACTGATTGCCCTGTCTAAACTCATGTGCATTTTTTTTGTGTGTGTGTGTGTGTGTGTGTGTTCTAGAACATGAAAGATGAGGAGATGAACACTATTGTTATTATGAACTTGGTAAGTCAGCACAATTTCTTCTGGCTCCTTTGTGTCATTTTGAGAAATAATGTGTTATAAAGCTTTATTTGCATTGAAGAAAAAGTTATCTGTCATCTATCATAATAATGTCCTGGGCTAAAGTTACCACACAAGACTAACTCTGACAATAAGAACTAGGATCAATATACAGTAACTTTGAATGCAAAATGAAAATTATGCAAATGCTGTTGATAATATGTATGGACAAATGTGCAGAGATATTGCATTTGGTATAATTAATGACACAAGCCATATCATTTGAAATCATTTGATTAAATGATGAACTGTTTGTACTTATAATTTCTTCGATGACCCTCATTTATCTGCATATGAACACGTACACACACACACACCTTTTGTGCTCTTACAGGAGTGGAACGATTATCGCCTCTCCTGGAACCCCAAAGATTATGGGGGAATTGATGTGTTGCGCATCCCATCTGGAAAAATGTGGCTTCCTGATATTGTTCTCATCAATAAGTGAGTTTTGTGTGTGTGTGTGTGTGTCTGTGTGTCTGTGTGTCTGTGTGTGTCTTTGCATATTATCTCAGAGAACCTATGAGTGTCGGGCACATTATCTTAGAGAGCCTCTGACAATAAGAACTAGGATCAATATACAGTAACTTTGAATGCAAAATGAAAATTATGCAAATGCTGTTGATAATATGTATGGACAAATGTGCAGAGATATTGCATTTGGTATAATTAATGACACAAGCCATATCATTTGAAATCATTTGATTAAATGATGAACTGTTTGTACTTATAATTTCTTCGATGACCCTCATTTATCTGCATATGAACACGTACACACACACACACCTTTTGTGCTCTTACAGGAGTGGAACGATTATCGCCTCTCCTGGAACCCCAAAGATTATGGGGTAATTGATGTGTTGCGCATCCCATCTGGAAAAATGTGGCTTCCTGATATTGTTCTCATCAATAAGTGAGTTTTGTGTGTGTGTGTCTGTGTGTGTCTTTGCATATTATCTCGGAGAACCTATGAGTGTCGGGCACATTATCTTAGAGAGCCTTTGCTGAGTTTCTGCAAGAACAGCAGAAATAACAGAAATTATCAAAGCTTTTGTGAAGCTTATCAAGAGATGTGTACTTTCTCTATCTGTTCCTTTCTCACACACTCTCACTTTAATGTCCAGGTAGACCCCCATCACTGCTGGTGTAAACATACTCCCTCCTTCATTCATCTCTGCTTTATAGCCAATTAAACAACACTGCTGTCCACTAGCAGCCTTGCTGGTCCTGCATTCACTCCTACACACACACACATACACAAATTGCATCCTACACACTGTTCAATAGGAGACATCTTCAAGTCCCACAGCACCATTACCGTAATAGATGGGAAGTTTTAAAAGCCTGGTTTGTGTCCTATGAGGATTATATACCAGTGCTCTATGATTTAGGGCTCAAATTGTTGATCTATCTGATTTGTAGGTATTACTCTTACCTATTATGAAACAGCCTTACAATATGTGGTAAAATAACATAATTTACAGTGTCATGTCAGTAACTCCAAGCTGACAATGAGCAGGGGCTGTCAAGCTCCTAAAATGACAGAAAGTAGTCTATAAACTTTGTACACTGTATTCTAAGTCATATTATAGCTTTGTGTGAAGAACGGATTTAAATGTAAGCCATTATTCATTGTAAATTATACACGCGTACACACTTAGGGTTACAAGGCGATAAAGAGCCAATGCTGTTTCCCAGCACCTGCAAAGCATACTGAGACACTAAACTTGAATATGTGCAATTACAGTAGGGATATGCCGGTATCAAATTTTCATGTTGCGATTAGAGCAGGGGCTGTCAAGCTCCTAAAATGACAGAAAGTAGTCTATAAACTTTGTACACTGTATTCTAAGTCATATTATAGCTTTGTGTGAAGAACGGATTTAAATGTAAGCCATTATTCATTGTAAATTATACACGCGTACACACTTAGGGTTACAAGGCGATAAAGAGCCAATGCTGTTTCCCAGCACCTACAAAGTATACTGAGACACTAAACTTGAATATGTGCAAGTACAGTAACTTTTTTTTTGGGTAAACTATCTCTTTAAGTACTCTGGTCTTCTCAGAAATGTTTTAAAAAATTGCAGGCCAGTATCTTTACTCAAAGAAACCTCAAATGCATTCGTCACCTTACAGACTTCTTAAGAAGCACATAATGGCTCTCGGAGATATAATGCAGAGTCCATGTTTCTTAGCATTACTGAGTGTCTGTAACTAGAGCCAAATAATCAGTGGTGGTGGGTGTTCAGTATCTAATAATGCTTCAGCAGTGATGATGCAGCTAAAATCTGCAGTCCATTTCAGTTTTTTTAAGTGATTCCAATCAGTTCGTACTGTTTGTACTGATAGAAAATATTAACTTTACCTGCTGGTGTCGCTGTTGGACAATGTTTCTTTAGAAAAACGAGTGATTTGAAGTCAATTTGAAGTGATTTGTTTTTTTTATATTCAAACTTCTCAAACTTGCTTTTTGAATCTGATACTGTCAATGTGGACTCAGTCTTTTAGAATTTCAGGGGGGAAAGCAATAGAAGTGTAACCATCTAAATTGCCTTAATTTTGAAGTTCATGTTTTTAGTAATGATATACAAGTTTATACTGCATTTAAAATGCTGTTTGTGTGTGCAGCAATGATGGCGTATTTGGTGTAGCTCTACAGGTCCACGTGCAAGCCTACAGTAACGGCCGTGTGACGTGGACTCCACCAGCTCTTTACAAGAGTTCCTGCGGGGTAAAGGTAAATTCTGAAATGCAACAGACATTTTATATTGCAAATTACTCAATATTACGTTAGGAAATGTGTAGATGATGATGATTGGGTAATACAAATCAAGTGCTCTACATTCTAATTCTTTAAATAAGGGCTGTGAAACATTAACAACATGCCATAAAAATTCTAGATGTGTATTAATATTATAGGCTCCACTATCATCAGTACTTTAATGTTTTCTTTTAAGCACTCATTTTTTCGGTATTGTTCTTGTTGATGAATGTTCAGCATCTTTCAATAAATACTGTAGTGATAAGAGTAAGTTATGGATGAGACCTTTAAATACTGTAATGAAGTGTAAAATCATAAGAAGTTTAATGACGCATTAAATCACTAGTGTTTATGCTCAGCACTATGAATATATTACAGTAGGACACTACTGGGGAGAATTTCTTGTTGAAAAAAGTCTACTTTTCCTCAGAAGTGAGGATCTCTCTCTCTCTGATTCTTTTGTACTTGTGTTGTGAATGTTTCTCCCCTCATTTGTATTGCTGCTTTTGTTTGGCCTCGCTCTAGTTTGGCTGTGTTTGATGTTCCGTCTGGTCTTTGCATGTGTGAAAAGCAGAAAGAGAGATGATTAAAGGAAGATCTGAGAGGAAAGATGCTCGTCAGACAAGCTGCAAGCACACATACTAACATGCACAAACTATTGGTACCTTTTTCTCCATCTGCAGGTGACATACTTTCCTTTTGACTGGCAAAATTGCACCATGGTTTTCCACTCGTATACATATGATTCCTCAGAAGTGGATCTGCAGCATGGCCTTGATAAGAGAGGAAATGAAATCCGAGAGATAGTCTTCGACACAGGCTTTAGTGGTAATGGCACTGTAACACTAAAACACTGCTACCTCTTGACATTCATACTGAAAAGTCTGTGGTGTTCATTAATGAACATTAAGATCGTTCAAAGAATTCATCTAAGACTACAATATCAACCAACTGTAAACACCCTTGAAATGCCCTATTAACATCTTAACAACAGCTTAACAATACCCTAACAACCACTGGGAAAAAAACATTCTAGCAACTGTTAAGAAACCACATAGAACAGGGGTGTCCAAGCCTGTTCCTGGAGGGCCACTGTCCTGTAGAGTTTAGCTCCAACCCCTAGTTAAACATGCCTAAATCAGCTAATCAAGGTCTTCAGACTCACTAAAAGCTTCCAGGCAAGCTAATTTTTGCGGGACGTTGGCCCTCTGGGAGCAGGATTGGACACCTCTGAACTAAAACAACCTAGCAACGCCCTAGACACCATCTAGCAATGCTCGGCAACCTTTTAAACGTTCAGAGGCTTTGTGAAGCCTTGTTTAAACCTCGCTTTGTACATGATTTCAGCCTGTTGCCCATTAACTTTACACACACTGCTTGAATTCACTCAGAATGACAATGATGTATATCATTGTAATGTTTTGCCATGTATCCAACTGAACACAAAAACAAACAATGTTTTTTTTTTTTACTGATCTCTCATCCAGAGAGTGGAGAATGGCACATTCGTCACAAGGTTTCTAGAAAGAATGTGCGAGAGGACCTGTATGAGGACATCACTTTCTACCTAATCATCGAGAGGAAGCCCATGTATTACGTGTTTAACATCGTCCTGCCCTGTATCCTCATCACCATCATTGCCATCTTTAACTTCTACTTGCCACCTGATGCAGGTGAGGAGTGTTTGCTTTGTTTTTGTTTTGTTTTTTATTTCAAACCAATACCAGATTTGTTGTAAATGGTAAAATAAATCAAATCTGCTTTAAATCCAGAACATAAAACAGGAGAGAATCTGAGTATGCACAGAAAATGAATAAACATCAATACAAATGGCCTTTTTATTAGATTCACGTTTTATTGACCTTGAACTAATGAATGTCCTATTATTGTCCATTATAAATAGAGTTTATACCTGCACAGTTAAACAGGATCAGTCTTTCAGTTCTACCAGTTAAGAGTGTAACAAATCATGAAGGGATCATTAGAACAAGCTAATTCTACAGCTTATATAGTTTGGCCAATTCATTCCATTATATACAATTAACCTTATCACAAAAACACATTAAGACTCTGTGTAAGTATATGCATGAGTAGATCAAGAGAAGCTCTCTTTTCTTTTCAGGGGAGAAGATGGGCCTTTCCATCAACGTACTGCTGACTTTAACTGTCTTCCTGCTTCTGCTGGCCAACAAAGTCCCAGAAACATCACTGGGTGTTCCCATTATCGTCAACTACCTGATGTTCACCATGATCCTGGTCACCTTTTCTGTCATCCTCAGTGTTGTGGTACTCAACCTTCACCATCGCTCCCCCAGCACACACCAAATGCCCCTTTGGGTGCGCAAGGTCAGTACAGAAGCCTCTAGTCACTAGGGCTGTCAAAAAAAAATTCGAATCTTGAATATTCGTCGAATTTAAAATAAAAATCCACATTCGAATGCAAAAACGTTGCATCCGAATTTTAGGTGTGCGTCAGGCAGCCTTATTAGTGGCGCACGAAATGCGACGACGATGTAAGTGTCATTGCATTTAAATGCTTTTGTTAGCCTGTCCAGTTGAACCCACTAGATGCGGCGCTGCTACGTTGTTCATTCAAAATATTGCAGAAAAAGAGAACAATCAATGCGGGGAAGATGTTGTTTACGTCAAAACCGAAACCAAGCCGTTCACACAGAACGCATATTTATCACATTTTCTAGCGGGGCATCTATCAGTGTTTCGAATATTCGTTGAATTTAAAATAAAAATCCACATTCGAATGCAAAAACGTTGCATCCGAATTTTAGGTGTGCGTCAGGCAGCCTTATTAGTGGCGCACGAAATGCGACGACGATGTAAGTGTCATTGCATTTAAATGCTTTTGTTAGCCTGTCCAGTTGAACCCACTAGATGCGGCGCTGCTACGTTGTTCATTCAAAATATTGCAGAAAAAGAGAACAATCAATGCGGGGAAGATGTTGTTTACTATTTAAGTAAAAAAAATTTAATTTAATTTTTCAGCCATTTTGACAGCCCTACTAGTCACAGTGTCAAAGAAGATTTCATATAGCATTTGAACTTTTTGCTTTCTACTGTGATGAAATGTTTTTGGGGTTTTGTTTTGGTTGAGAATAAATAAGCATTAGCAAAACACAAAACTTTTGTTAGGAGATGGATATCCTTTTGTGAAAATTTTGTGGAGTCAGCTGCTTTCATCAAATTGACGGCTATATTGTTAAAATGACAGATGCAGAAAATGTTTCCATTTAGCATTTGCTTTTATTCATGGGCACTCCAAAACACCCCAATCTGCCAATTACGAACTTATGAAAAAAGGTTAAAAATGTAAAACAGACAAAAATAGATAATGGTTCAAAATAGACAACAATTCAGTTTAGCAAAGAGACCATGCAGCAAAACAAAAGCATCTTTCCAAAAAGCAGCCTAGTATGTTAGACTATTAACCTTTATCAATGGCTGTGAGCTCTACATTATTTAAACTTATTAGAGCCGTGGCCTCTTCATCACACCACAGTGACCCATTTACACCTTCTATTAACACCCGTTTCAAGCTACCCAATCACAAGTGGACAACGCTTCTAAAGATTATAGTAAAAAAAAAAGCAGTATTTCTTGATTCACATTCAGTACAGTTTTGCAGGACATTCATCCATGACAGCAAGGCCATGTGAAAATAGATGTGTGATGCAAGGCTGAAAGATTATTTGCTGGCCAAGTGCAAACTGTCTCTTTCTTTTCGAGCCTTTGTGAAGTCATGCAGATGAAGCGAGGACTCAGCCATCTCTAGGCGATTGTTGTTGCACAACACTATAGCGCTATTAATAAAGTGCACTAGAAATTATTGTTTTGCTTACATAATTATTATTGATCACCTCAACCAGAGAATTTCACTCTCAGTGAGCCCTGTGTGTCTGGGGTATGAGTGTGAATGGGGGTTGAGAAAAAAAGGAAGAAATCATCACTAAAATAAAAAGGATCAGCACAAATCGACTCTGACACATTAGACCTGCCTTGCATCAGGCTCAAGAGAGGAGGGCGAAGATGTAGAGACAGGAGAGAGTGTGAGAGAGAAAGGGAAGATGAGAGAGAAATTCGATGAGGCAGCGGTGTCTTGCTTTTTAATTGGTTTTATAGCGTGTTTTGGCACCATTGCCACCATGTTTTAGTCAAATTAGTCTTTCCTGATTAGTCATCTGTGTCTGCTGACGTACAGAGTGAGGAGGGAGGGGGAAGGAAAAAAATCTTCAAGACCGGCAGAGGATGCCATTGACCTTTTGTTTCATTAATTTAATACATTAGTCTTGTGCAGCCACTCGCCAGACTTTTGACTATTGCCATCTAACTTATTCTGGCCAAGATATCTAAAACGATAGTTGCAACATATAACCACAGTTTGCTTTTTAAATGTGATATTTACCAACACCAAACCATTCAAAGGTAAGATTGTTTAATGTAGGGTGACCATACATGGCCAGGACGCGTCCGGGGAAAATGGCACGTATGGTCACCCTATTTAATGTTTTTGAAAGACATATCTTATGTTCAAAGTTGTGTTTATTTGATTGATTCAAAATACAGTAAAAACTGTAATATTGTGAAATTTTATTAATATTTAAAATAATTATTTTCCATTTTATTATGTTTTAAAATGCAGTTTATCCCTGTGACTGAAGCTGAATTCAGTAGACATTACTCCAGTCTTCAGTATCACAGGATCCTCACATGGTTACTTTTGATCAATTTAATGCATCCTTGCTGAATAAGAGATTTGATTTCTTTAAAAAAAGAAATATACTGACTCAAAACTGTATGGTAGTGTAAATCTCATCTCAATCATACCACAATATTAGACCGGCGTGATTTTACATTCAAATAATGCCATTGCAGATTCTGCGATTTGAATTAATTTAGACTTTGTCTGAAAATATTCTTAATTTTTTCACAGACATACAGTACTCTCATACATACTCGGAATATCTTTGAACCTTGCAAACTTTGTAAAATCCAGTGTTCATTTCTTCCTTGGAAGTTCTCGTTTTAGCAGCCTGGTGATGTTTTTCCCTGGAGGACTGATAAAATACTGTGTTCACTGACTTCTGAAAGTTGTGCAGAAACCAGTAAAACAAATTGGAGCTTTGCCATTCTGAATATGCATCTGATGGTAACTTATGGCTGTAAGTGTTGAAAAAAAACTTTGAATGAGTGCTTAACAATATGTTGTACACTTTAATTTGATTTATCATCTGCTATGATGATGTTAGTGCTGTTCCAAATTAGGGTTGGGCCGATAGACGATGCCATCGTCCATAACCGATGGCTGACAGACATCACGATGTTAAAGGGGTCAAATGATGTGATTTCAATTTTTCCTTTCTCTTTGGAGTGTTACAAGCTCTTGGTGCATAAAGAAGATCTGTAAAGTTGCAAAGACTAAAGTCTCAAATCCAAAGAGAAATTCTTTATAAAAGTTAAGAGTCAGCCACACCTACCTAAAACGGCTCGTTCTAACACGCCCCCACATATCTACATCACTATGTGGGAAGATTTGCATAACGCCGCCCAAATGTTCACGCAAAGAAAGAAGGCGTAACTTTTATTCTCGCTGTAGTATTGTTGTTACTGCCGCCGCCATGTCGTGAAGGCACTGTGTGATTCATTGTGAAAGCGAAACTACTTTGTTTGGCCTTCCAAAAGAGGACAATATCTGCTTCATCGTGCCTGGAGCTGATCCGTGCTGGTTGCTGAGGAAATACTACTACTTTGCGCTGTGGATCGCCGGATCGGCTTTCACCGTGGGCGAAGCGGAGTCCAGCCCGGGGTCGTCACATGTGGTTGCCGCAAGCCCGCAGGACGCTCCTTCGTCGAATCCGCCACCTCCGCTCACTCTATGGTAAGTATAGGCGACTGTATATAAATTGCGGGCATCAGGGAGCCGCTATTGAAACCGCTTTCCATTGCGCGCTCCCATTTTACTTTCACTTTCACTTTTGAGATTCGTGATCACAAGGATTCTATACTATGGAGCGCCAGTACTTACCACACATTTGACAAGATTAGATGTTTGTCATTGGTGCTCAGGATCTGCAAATCATTCGCCATCGTCCTATCAGACATTTCTCCTTACTCTTTGTATGTGGTAAGTGAACTTTCATGTACTGTAATGCAACAGGCTACCGCTAGTAAGCGGCTAACCTTTTAGTGGCTCCGTATAACGCGTTATTTGTTTCATGCTTCATGCACACCCTTAACCCCCCCCACATGTTTTAACACACACTCCTCAGCTGGGCTAAAGCTTTAATCTGCTCGCTTCTCCCAATCCGCTGTGCTCTCAGCCTGAGAAGGGTATAACTGCAGCCCGGAGATCTCCAAATGGGGGCGGGAACTCCAAAACGGGGTGGGAGTTCCAAAATAGGGCGTGGTTTCCTCCCATTGACAGACAGATACCTGCAATGAGCTCCTGTACCAGCATCTGAATACACAAGTAGACACGGGAGCTGTGAAAAAAACGAAGAGTCACACTGACCTCTTGTGGTGGGAAGGGGAGGTGTCATATCTGAAAAATGGATGAAGAGAAAGAGAGGGGGCAGTGGGAGAGCAAGAAAGAGGGAGGATTCATAATGAAACAGATGTTAGCGAACAGATTCACAAAAGAGGAATGCAACACATCAGTGGTGATAAGCATTTCATCAGCACATTGGAAGGATTTCATGGGTGGGTGGTAGCATTTCTAGTTTATTTGTACAAATATTTGAAGGTAACTATCACTATCGTTGAGTTAAAGTATGTACAATAAGTATGTTCAGTGGGACCTTGAGCTTGCAGTGCATTGGTTAAGCATTCTCATAAGCGTTTGCATGTTTATATAGAGTAAGTTTCTGGGCAGTACACACATGCCAAGCATGTTCTGAATTCCGAAAATCAGTGTTGTAATGTGCAGTGATATTCTTCCTCCATTCCCCGTGGTGCAGGTACCAGCCTGATGGTCCATGCACCGACCTGAGGAAGTTCATTGACGGCCCCAGTCATTACCTCGCCCTTCCTCCAGATCTCAAGTCAGCCGTAGAGGCCATCACTTACATCGCAGAGCAGCTGCAGGCGGAGAAAGATTACGAGGCTGTAAGTGATTTATGATAACTATAGCCAATTGTGCCAGAATTATAGGTTACTTTTCCTGCTTCTGTCTGTGTGTCAGAGCTTTGTAAATCTTTGTTCCCTTTGTTCTCACTGTTTGCCATTACCAATCATCTTTTCGTTTTCCCTTTTTTTTCTTTGTCTACTTTCTCTCTTCTTTTCCTCCCCCGTCTGCCTCTCAGTTAAAGGAGGACTGGCAGTATGTTGCCATGGTGGTTGATCGACTCTTCCTCTGGATCTTTGTGATTTTTACCTCCCTTGGGACACTGGGCATTTTTGCTAATGCCAGCTTCAATGCCACACCTACTGACCCCTTTCCCTAAATCTGATGGTTGTTCTCTCTAGCCTTAAACTTTTCACCTCTAAAACATTGGCACGAGATGTGTTAGACACTGCTGCGTGTTCAGTTCACATTTATGGCGTTGTAATGTAACACAAAGATCACAGCAATTCATTCACACAATATTTCTGTAGTTAAAGCAGTGGATAGATGCATAAAAACAGCTATACTATTGCTAAAAAAGTGGGATTTGTTATAATTACGTAAAATAGTATAACTTATAGATTAATGTCAAATTTTGAATTTGCTGAAATTCGCTTTTGCCTTTTTGAAATTTATGCAGTTCCTCTTTTAAGGAAAGAAATTTCTCCATTAGAAGTCCACCAGTGGCTTTCTCATTAACTGTGTGTTTTGCTCATAATTGATTGAGTTTTTAGTGAGATCTGTTTGCCATACAGGGAATGGAAATGGACTTGGGATGGTTTTTGGCTACAGGATTGTTATGTGTATGGACACATCACTTAACATCACTATAATATATCATATACTGTCTTTAATGTGCCAATTAAATGAGTTTTTGCACAAACACATTATTATTTTATAAATTAACTCAGTTTGGCTCACCTGCAGTGCTCAGGCAGGCTGTGTCACTGTATTGTACTCTCCGCCCATCTGAGGAACCGTTTTTTGCTCAGATTTACACCACTGTTCAAAAGTTTGGGGTCAGTAAGATTTTTTTTTTCTTTGAAAGAAACTAATCAAAGAAACCAAAGAAATGTTTCTTGAACACCAGATCATATACCAGCCTATTAAAATAATTATGGCATTGAAGACTGGAGTAATGGCTTTGTCATCACAGGAACAAATTACATTTTAAAATAACTTTGAAAATGAAAACCCTTATTTTAATTGTAATGATATTTCTCAATATTACTGTTTGTGCTGTATTTTTTTTTATCAAATAAATGCAGCCTCGGTGAGTATAAGTGACTTCTTTCAAAAACTTTACCAACCCCAAACTTTTGAATGGTAGTGTATTTGCATTTATGCATAATGTGTAAGAAATTGTTTAGATACCCAGTGTGATGTGTGCTCTTAAATGTGTGAGTGCTGTTCTAGTCATTATCTAGTCAATATATTTTAAGAAACTTCTATGTGATAAGAGCAAAGAAGGTGTAGTGATAGGATGATTGGTTGTACATGGTGCGCATGCGCAGGGGGAGAGTTGAGTCAGTAAAGTTGCTTGCTATGGCACACATTGCTCTCCTGTCAGTTCCTTGGCGAGATTAATATAATATCATAGCATGGTGTCAGAAGTAGACCTACCTCGCTTTCCGAGAGATGCCTGTCGCCCACACCATATCGGTCTTTAGAGACTTTTCGAGCAAAGTATCGGAGTTATAATCCAGTTTATCGGACGGCAATGCTGATCTGAGAGAGAGACGGGAGCTCGGAGAAAACATAAACAAAACAGCGGGGGGAAAAAAGTCCAGACGCTGAATAACAGCAAGGTAAACATTTAAGATGGATACATTGTTCTCCATAAGCCCGCCTGAAAACTTTGACTTCAGTGATTTTGGCAGTTGGCCAAATTGGATTCGCAGATTCGAGCGATTCCGCATAGCTGCGGGTATCAGTGAGAGAAGTCAGGAGTATCAAGTTAACTCGCTTATTTACACAATGGGCGATAAAGCCGATGATATAATGAGTACGCTGCCTCTGACAGACGAAGAAAGAAACAACTACAGTAAAGTCAAGGATGCGTTTGAGAAACATTTTGTATGCAAGTACAACGTGATTTATGAGAGGGCTAAATTCAACAAACGGTGCCAAGAGCCCGGTGAAACACCCGAAGCATTCATTACTGCAGTTTACAAACTAGCAGAGAATTGTCAGTACGAAATTCTCCAGGAGGAAATGATAAGAGACAGATTAGTCGTAGGAATACGTGATCATGGACTGTCAGAGAGATTACAGTTAGACCCAGAGCTCACACTCAGTAAAGCTATAACAAAAATAAGACAGAATGAAGAAATAAAAAAGCAGCAGACAATATTAAGACAAACCAGTGGGGACACAAAAGAGGTAAACATGGACATGTTGAAATACAAAACCAAACCAAAACATGTACAAAAAGGAGCCCAGAGAAAAACTGACAGTATGAGACACAGTGAGGGAAACAAAGGATGTGGCAGATGTGGCAGGTCACACCCACTGAACAGCTGCCCTGCACGGGACGCTGAGTGCAGAAAGTGTAAGAAAAAAGGGTACTTTGCTGCATTTTGCAAAACAAAAAAGAGACTGGATGAAATATATCAGGACGAGGGGGCAGAGAGCATTGAAACTGTGTTTTTGGGAGTTCTAAAGTCTGTGAATTCAAATGATGTGTGGCAAAAGACTGTTGCTGTGAATGGGGAACAGATCCTTTTCAAATTAGACACAGGAGCGGCAGTGACGGCCATTCCAGAAAGCATGTACTCAGAAAGGAGTCATGGGATCCTCAGCCCTGCAACGAAGAAGTTGTGTGGACCAAGCAACACTAATAAACGTGAGCAGGCAATTTGAGGGTTCATTACAGTACTTGGATAAAACAATAAAACACATGGTGTTTGTGATACCAAGACTGGTTTCACCACTACTGGGTTTACCAGCCATCAGAGAGCTGGGTTTACTCCACACAGTCGACACAATTAACACATCAGAGCCAAATTACAGAGAACTATACCCAAAAGTTTTTACAGGATTAGGGAAACTGGAGGGAGATTATAAGATCAAACTCAAAGAATCAGCCACTCCCTTTGCTCTGTCGGTGCCCTGTCGGGTGCCCTTGCCCATGATGAAAAAGGTGAAAGAGGAGCTGAAAAGAATGGAAGACTTAGGAGTAATCGCACCAATTGAAGAAGCAACTGAATGGTGCCCCGGTATGGTCATTGTACCTAAACCAAATGACAAAGTCCGTATCTGTGTGGATCTTACACGGTTGAATGAAAATGTTTGCAGAGAGAAACTCATGCTCCCTGCCGTGGATGAAACACTGGCTAAACTGGCAGGTGCAACAGTATTCTCCAAACTGGATGCTACTGCTGGATTTTGGCAGATCCCATTACACAGAGATTCAACTCCACTCACTACCTTTATTACACCTTTTGGTAGATATTGTTTTCATCGCCTTCCATCTGGTATTTCATCGGCACCAGAGCACTTCCAGAAGCGCTTAACACAGATGCTGGAGGGCCTGGAGGGTACGTTGTGTCATGCTGATAACATCCTAGTGTTTGGGGATACACGCATGGAACATGATGCCAGTCTTCTCAAAGTCTTGAACCGGCTGGAACAGAAAGGCTTGACACTGAATGAAAAATGTCAGTTTGCAGTGACTCAGGTTAAGTTCTTAGGCCACATAATCGGTGCTGAAGGCATTCAAGCTGATCCAGACAAAATAAAAGCCATCACAAAGATGCCAGAGCCTAAAAATACTGCAGACGTCAAGCGATTCCTTGGCATGGTGAATTATGTTGGAAAATTTTCTCCTAACATTGCAGAGCTGACGGGACCTATCAGAGACCTGCTCAAAACAGAAAATGACTGGGTATGGGGTGGCCCACAACAACAAGCCTTTGAGAAGGTAAAAAAGGAACTCAGCTCTTCGGCAGTTTTAACACAGTACTGCCCAGATCGACAGACAAGAGTTTCAGCGGATGCTTCTTTTTTTGGATAAGGGGGAGTACTATCTCAGCTGCAGCCTACAGGCGAGTGGAGGCCCGTAGCCTTTATATCACGGAGCATGACACCAGCAGATAGAAGGTATGCCCAAATCGAGAAGGAGGCTCTTGCAATCACTTGGGCCTGTGAAAGGTTTCAGACCTACCTCCTTGGTCTAGATTTTGTGATCGGAACCGATCATAAGCCGTTGGTCAGTTTGTTAGGCTCAAGACCACTTGATGACCTGCCCCCACGCATACTAAGATTTCGCTTGCGACTTCTGCGTTCCTCTTACCAAATTGTGCATGTTGCTGGAAAAAATCTAATTACAGCTGACACGCTGTCCAGAGCTACACTCCAAGACAGCCTGGTAGCGGAAGACCTCAACATGGAGGAAGATGTACAAGTTTACGTCAGCTACGTCATTCAGCAGCTCCCTGCATCAGCCTCTAAGTTAGCTCAGATAAGGAGGGCTCAGGAAGAGGACGAAGTGTCCACCACGGTCTTACATTGTGGACGGGCCAACTGGCAGCCTTAGAAGACATCGCTCTCATCTAAGAGCCATCCCTTTACAGTCAAGAAACACACAAGTCTGTGCAAGAAGCAGAGTGGGTCGTGTGATTAGACCACCTTTAAGACTGAATCTGTAGAGAGTTGGCAGGACTTTTAGCCCATTCAGTGTTTATCTCCCTTTCTTGTAATAATAATGAGGAAGTACTTGTTGTGTTTTTTTATCCCCTCAACAGAGAGACTTGTTCTTTGCTAGATTCTGGACTAACAGAGGGGGCTGAAATGGAATGTAATATTGTAATGTTATGTTGAGTTCACATGGGAGAAAAAAAGAAGGAAATATTTGTTATTGGTTATGCTATTTTATGTCTTTGGGAAGTTCTTTAGCTAAATGAGGGAGATGTAGTGATAGGATGATTGGTTGTACATGGTGCGCATGTGCAGGGGGAGAGTTGAGTTAGGGCTGGACAATAATTCAATATCAATATGTATCGTGATATAATTTTTTTAAATAACGGTGATATGATTTTTAAACACATTTCCGATGTTTCGATATACATTACCAGTGTTTCCCATACATTGATTTATTTGTGCCGTTTGACTTCGTTGAATAAACATGAGCACTGCACGTTTCAAAATCATAACACGGCGCGGGTGTTTTATATGAATGTATCTCTGAAGGGAATTGACTGTCTTCAGAAAAGTTTCGATGGCATTTTCATTTGATCTGATAAAGAAGCGTTCATGAGCGGACCTGCTTTGATTACAGCCATTACTGGAGAAACCGCTAGTTCTATCACTCTAAAAGCGCCTCCTGCTGCCAGAGAATGAGTTTTCATTTTAAATAAGCCCGTCTCCAGCAACATTTCCAGTTTTTGCTGTTGTTCAATTTTTTTTGTTTTCTGCAGCGACTCGGAGCACTTTTCATACCCTTTTTTCTGGCTGAAGCACATTTGTTTCACTCTATAAGAATAATCAGCCTACACTACCAGTCAAAAGTTTTTGAACAGTAAGATTTTTTTTTTTTTTTAAAAATTTTCTTTTGCTCACCAAGGCTGCATTTATTTGATCCAAAGTACAGCAAAAACGGTAAAATGTTGAAATATTTTTACTATTTAAAATTGCTTTCTATTTGAATAGATTTTAAAATGTAATTTATTCCTGTGATCATACAGAGGTAAATTTTCAGCATCATTACTTCAGTCTTCAGTGTCACATGATCCTTCAGAAATCATTCTAATATGCTGATTTGCTGATTATCAATATTTAAAACAGAGTAAAAAAAATTTTCAGGATTCTTTGATGAATAGAATGATCCAAAGATCAGCATTTATCTGAAATAAAAAGCTTTTGTAACATTATACACTATTCCAT